CAGAAACCCAAAAGTCCTCAACTTTATATCTCTGCTTTCTTAAGTATGACATAGAATTTGAAATATCTATTTTTATATTAGTGTTACCAATGAGGTATGCTTCAGCAGGTCTATAAACTTTGTATTTAATATTTGCCACTTCCTTCTGTTTTAATTCATTCATGCCAGATCCAACACCTAAATTAATCATTGCATACTTTTAACTACAGCAGTTATCACTGGAGGCGAATAGTTTTTAATTACTTTCTGCTCTACAAGTGTCCTTATTGCTTTAGAACATTTGATTCTATTACCTTCCTCCAAGGAATGTGAATGATTTAGTGAGTTTTTATAGTATTCAACCTTTATCTTGTTTGACGAAACTAGCCAGAAAACCTTTATTTTCATCTTATGCAACACTGATAGTTGTAATTTTGACATTCTGCATTTTTCATTCAGAATATTTTCCTGTTGATAACCACTTGAATCTCAATGCTTCATAAATCGGTATGCAAAAACTTTTGAGATATTGCCATTTACACTTTTATACGAATTCTATTGAGTCCAGATATTAGAAACCAAGGGCCACCAAATATTATTGAAATCTTCTAATGAAATCTCAAAAGGTATGTTTATGTCAAAAAAGAGGCCTCATCTTTCATCCGAAGTGAGATCTACTATTGATGCAGTGGCAGATACAGCAGCACAAGTCAAGTCCATATTATTTAAAATTTGCTCACCAATTGTATTAAAAAAAAAGAGTACAATATAATGTACCAAAAAGAAAAAAAAAAGGATTGGAGAATAAAAAAAAATCAGTATCTCCAAATATTTCATTCCAAGATCTTATCAAGATCTTACAATATATCATTCTTAAGGTTTTTGTTGAAGAAATGATTAAATTTTCTTTCAATAGTGTTAAAAAAAAATACACCATATAAAAAATAGCTAACTCAAGACTGCAGGCAGGGCTTAATTAAAAAAAACACATTTAGTCAAAAAAAAAAAAAAAAAAAAAAACTTATAGCCAAAAAAAAAAACATTTACAAAGCCAAAAAAAATTGGTTCATCAAAAAAAAAGATCTTCGCCCCAAATCCAAAGGTCAAACAAAACCATGAAAGTGATAAAGGTTATATGAAAGATCCAATGTAAGCGTTTTGAACAAGTAGAAGAGCAGTAATGGCAGTAACGGTAAATTATTTGGCTGCAAATCAACAAGATCTGGCCAATTACGATTATTGTTCATCTGGCCAATAAAAATTCGTCACGTGATTCTGCTCCGCTTTTAGCCGTCCCCTTATTTGGGAGATTTACATTGATCGACCAATCAAATCACCAATTTTTATAAAGCAAAAAAAAAGCAAAAAAGCAGAAAATACAAAAAACGAGTGTCTAAACCTGCTTTAGAGCACTAATAAAAATGTCGGGAGAGCAATTTTACCTATAATCTTGCCCATTCACTAACCTTAACCCTAACTCTAACCATAATTTTAGTCGTTTTACTTTAAATATAAGGAAATTGAAAAACGGTGTAATAAAATTGATCAGTTTGAATATATGGTTATTACGTATTGCTACTCTTAAATGAAGTTGCGCGACCATTAATCAACTTAAGTAGCAACTTCAAACGGTTGCCGGTACCAATAATAGCAACATAAATGTATTACAGAACTATCTCCGATATTTTTTTTTTTTGATAAAAAAAAAAAGTAAATTAACTTTGGAGAAATTTTCAAAAATGAAATGTCACTGTACGCTTAAGTATATAAATAGGAAATGATAGGCCTTTATCAACTATAGTTACGCTTTTAATATTGTTCAGAAGCAAGTCAAAATTTTACATATAAGAACAAATCTTGTCTATTTTTATATTTTATACATTTAAAAATGCATTGACTGTTAATAATTTGCAATTTTGCTAGTACATCTTACAATTATAAGCTCATTGAGAATATAAATATATTATATAATTTTGATGATAAAAATTTCTTGAAATATTTAACCCATATAAATTTAATAGATCAGACTAAAATTTATTAAGAAAGTAATTACTCGGAACGTTTTCTAAATGTTTTTTTTTTTAAATATACCGTATAACCGCGAAATAACGCACAAGGGTGTTATTTTGAATTTTTTTAAGCTTAATTTAGGCCGAAAACTGAAATTACACACCTGCGCGTTATTTCACGGTTATGCGTACATGACAACATAATCTCAGAACATTCAAGTGCTTTATTAAAAAGTCTAAATGAGTAAGAAGTACATTGGTAATTAAAATTGATTGGCGGGAAATATTTTAGCATACTTGTAAATAAGGTACAGGATACGTAATTAATTACGTCAAAGAAAATTTTAAAATAGTGAAAATGATCAATGAGTTTATCGGATCAACAAAGCTTTTGTCTCAAACCATCTTTTTTGGTACAGGTTTATAAATTTATAAATAGGCCGCTTGAAGTTACAATATCGTTTAATGTTCTCTCCTCCGAAATTAAACAATTCAATCTTAACAAATAGTAATAGTATATGGAAATAAGCAATAAAGCAGCCGGGTTTATGTTCCTTACAATTTTATAATTTTCGACATTTAATAAACCACTTAGAATTGACTAGAGCTGCTCAAACATTGACTAAACCTTTATTTTGATCTATCATACCAATTGAGTATCATTATACAATATCAATAATTCATATCAAAAGTGACAATTTAAAATGCTATACGATTATTTCTTAATTGTTATGGAATATATTGATCACTAGAAATCGCATATAGAAAGATCTTGAAAACTCCTTCAGGTCTAATAAAATTATCTCTATAACATATATTTAGTCCTAAAAAAAGATTCAGTGAATTTTCTCATAATTTAATTACGAGTTTAAAATTCAAATCAGTTTTTTAAGACTTGAAATACTTCAAATTCATCAATTAAAAGCTTAGGATTATTAGATCTAAGTCGTTTTTCATAATGCGTATCATAGTGACCACAACCCCATTGCTTACTATCATTTAACATATAAAAATATTTGCTGAAAGCTGGACCATAATTGCTAAAACATCCAATTACATAATTTGCATGGACAATTCTACTAAGGATGGAATTCGATAGGTTTTGGGTTTTTAATGAAAAAATAAAACTGTCTGTTGTTGTAAGCCATTCATTATTAGACTTCCAGACTAATGGATTATATCCACCAAGTATTTCATTTGTGCCATTAATCTTTATAACAGACACGGTGGCAGGAATATTATCACATAACCTATGAAATGTTTCACGAGTAAATCCATCTCTACTTCCTCTAAGAAGTAAATTAAATTTGTAAGGTATTTTTGTAACATCATATATTGATGGACAACGATCAATCCAAGATGAAATCTCTGCAAAATGCTCATCATTAACAATTGAAGATTGATTAATAAAGTTAACTTCACGGACTGGAAGTTGAACTTTGATTTTTTTACGTGCAGGTAAAATTGTTGAAGAAACTGATATTTCAGGCGCCATAATCTTTGTTGCAATATCATCCCACAATTTTGATCCAAGAATTTGATGATATGGTTTAACTTTCATTACAATATCTTTTCCAGGCATTTGAAAATAGCGAATTAAAGGAATACATTTGTCAAGTGTGGTTTTTAAGGCTAAAAAATTTTCATCATTCCATTGTTCAAGATTAGATGGTAGATTTGGTGTATGTTCCTTTCCCCATTGAATAACCTTATCCCAAATTTCTGATTCTTTTATTTGTAAATCATCTCGCTTTAAAAGAGTTATTAAGGCATTTTCTTTAATAGAAATAAAGTCATTAGAATCAAAAACTAGGTTAGGATGTTTCGCAAGGATATCAGTACAAAAAGTTTGTAAAGGTTTAAAATTATTATCTTGAAAACTAATAGAATAAACTCGGGTAAATTTTAGTCGAAGCCATGATGCTTTATTTTCAATTAGATGTGACTGAATATATTTAACCAATTCTGCTAGACCTAACTTGTTGGATGGAATTAAAAGATCAAATACAATAGATGGTTCAGCCTGTTCTAATTGGATTGTACCAGTGTAAATATATCTAAATTGAAAGACCTTTAATTAGTATCTTAATTATAATTACATTTATTATGAAATAAGTCACTTACTTAATTAAAATTTTAAAAGCTTCAACAGAAATATTAGTTAGAGTAATTTCAATAAGATTATTCTTTTTAGTTGCAGTTGATAATTCTTGACGAAAAAATGAAGAGCGTTGATATAAAACTAATGAATGCAGCTTAAAACTTTGTTCGTCAACTTTAACTATAACATTATAATCATATTCGGTTTCAAGAAGTTGTGCGAAATCGTTTGCGACATTTATACGTAAGTTTAAAAATATGATTACGTATTAAATCTATGCAAAATTTTTATGCGACCTTAATAACTCCAGATGGGTGGTGGCACCAATCACAACATATAACTGTGTTACAGAAGTATCATTTTTAAATTTTGAAACGACATGATCCTCTTGTGAACGGAGTCACAAGGCGGTACATTATTGCGAGTCACTGGATTTCCACATGACCACCAATGGGTCACAGGACCTGTCCATGGCGAAATGGTATTTGAGTAACCTGATGATCTGTGGTTTTCTTTGTCGTTTGAATTTTCTGCTCGACATTATGTCCAGCTATCCCCCACCACTTCCCTAGAAGAAAAAAAAAAAAAAAGTAAAAGTAGCGATGCTCGAAAAAGTCTGCTCACGTGACCTCCTGCGGCTTGTTCAACAACCCTAGCGTCGCCATGAAAAAATGGTAGCCGGATTTTTTTTGCCGGCCTACATATGACTTCGGATGACAATT